AGGAGAATGGAGGAGAAGGGATTGCGGCGTGACCATCCCCCCTGGGGGGTGATTTCTCGCTTTCTGTCTCTGTGTCTCTGTCTGTCTGGCAAGCACACGTGCCCTGTAGTGAAAATCTCTCAAAAAAAAAAAAAAAAAAACTATAAATCCACAGATCTAAGAAACTCCACGAGCTCCAAGCACAAGAAACATGAAGAAAACGACACTAGCCTTAAAGAGAAATCTCGAAGGTGGAAACGCAGGACCAAGGGGTTAGCTAGGGCCGAAGATGTGGCTTCTGGGCGACATTGAAGCTCTGGGTCTACCTCAGATGCTAGCCGGTTATTGTAGCCTCTCCACAAGCTCACAGGCTCCTTCCACCCCATGCCATGCCCCCATCCTAGGGACCTCAATCCCTCCAGCACCCCATTCTGCTGAGGTAGAGGTTTAGCCGTCCCAGCTCCAATCTCTCCTGATTTCCGGAGGCTGGGTCCAGTGCTCTGCCCAATCAGTGTTTCAGGATTCACCTGAAGCCCCTTCCCCACACCACTGCCTGCTGCTCTGGCATCACCTCCCACTCTCGCATGGGCCCATTTCCCAGGTCTCTATGGAACCTGGCCTCCAGACCTGGGAACCAGGCGTCCTCATCCCACTACCCGGTTGTCAGCTCCTCTGACATCTATGCCAAACTCCTTCCTGGTTCTGCTTCTGTTTTCTCCAAGCCCTTGGGGTTCTGTAAAACTCTCAGGATTCTTGTAACCCGTCTATTTCTCTTAAAGCTGGCAGCCTGACAGACTCTAGTTATTCTTAGTGCTAAATTATTTATCTCCTGCCCCTCCTCACCCGCGTTTCAGAATCTTTAACGTGACTCCTGGGGCCCTGCGGAGGTCCATTTTCCCCCACTCAAAATGAAGTAATTTAAAAATCTTTCGTCTTTAATTTTTTATCACCCAAACCACGTATGTGGTATTTAAGTTTGTTGTGGGGTCAGGACCTGCCTGTGCTGGCAGCCCTCGGCTTGCTGCCCCCAGCTTCATGTTGGCTCTTGGCCACCTCGGGCCACGAATAGCCGGAAATCACTGCCCACGGAGGGGGGCTGGAGGAAGCCGTAGAATCACAACAGCTCTTGAGATTCCCAGGTCCATCGGGATGTACCTCAGGACACAGCCCTCGTAAACCCAGAAGGTATACCTCACGGCCCGAGCATTCAGGGGAGATGTCTACCCCAAGCCAGCCCCCTTGTGCCCCAGCAGGAGGCACAGAGGTTGAGGTCCTGACCAGGGCAGGAAGTGATGTGGGTGCTAAAGAGCGTGGCCTCACCCTGTGTGGGCAGCGACACTTCCTCACTTGGGTCACTTGCTCCTCTGACCCATGCACCCCGGTGGGCAATTCTCTCCAGCTGCCTGGTCATCTGAGGTGCTGTCTGGCAGGCAGAATGGGCCCGCCACTCGCTACAGATCACAAACCCAAGTGCAGGACTAGCAAGTGGTGTAGTGGTTAAAGCACCAAACTCCCATGTGGGACTAACCATAGCTCGAGTCCCAGACCTGGCAGCTTGAAACTCATGCCTGGCGCATGTGCGTGTGTGCCCAAAATCTCAAGAGAAGAAAGGAGGAGAAGGGACTGCAGCATGACCATCTCCGCTGGGGTAGGCGTGGGGTGATTTCTTGCTTTGTCTCTCTCTCTCTAATGAGAGCACGTGCCCTATAGCTGAAAAGGAAAAAAAAATAAATAAAACCCAAGCAGGTGATGGACCTTTGGCGCCTGAGGCAGGGGCTGCACCCACCTAGAGGAGTAGGGCAGGGGTCTCTCATAGCAGCCGTGGCCAGAGGTGAAGAGCCCTGTCACTCAGATACAGAAGCTACCTTCAACAGGGAGGACTCAGGGCCACCCCTCCATTCCTGCCTGCTGCCTTTCCTTCCCGTTTGGGGCTCCCATGTAACAATGACCTTCTGTCCCTCCAAGCGGGGGACACATTGGTATCCCACACATTGGTAGCCCCCACTTCTGCTAGAAAATAAGCACTGCTCCTAAGTCACTTCCAAGCAGATTTTGTGCATTTGTTTTGTGAATGGCTTATGATTTTTTAAAAAGAATTATTTTATACTCATGCAAAATATTATTTTACTTGACTTTATTTGTTTTTAAAATTTGAACAGAGAGAGACAGAGTAGGGAGGGAGGTAGTGAGAAAGCCAGCCACCAGGTCCGGAACTCAAACTGTGGTGGCCATGTGGGAGTCCGCACCCTTACCACCAGCCACCTGCCGGCCACAATGGCTTATGATTTTTCTCATCCTCCAGAATCTTCTCGGCTCTGCATTGTGAGGCTCCAACTTTTCAAGAGCCATACTTCGACTCTGCGTGAAACAGCATCAGTCTGCATAGGCGGGGGGGTCAGCGCAGTCCTG